ATATTTTAGCAGATAAAAAGATATTTGGTTTAATAATTGGCATTCATTTGCATAATCATTGCTTTTCTTAGCAATAATTAGCAAGCAGTAGTAAAATGGAGATCATACCTATACAGCATCTCTGGTATCTTTCTCCTACCTTGTTAATGCAATTGTGACAGCCAAGATAGATGGTTAAACATCGGTTATTCCTAAGTTAGATGACTTCTGAGCTTGTTAGACAACAGTCATTGCTAGACCAAGTGGGAGCTATCCTCGATCAGGGGTGCTTGTTGAACAATTAGGATCTGTTGTAGGGTTAGGTTTCAGTTCATGGAGAAACTTTGTTATGGTCTGCGCAAAAACTTCTCCATTATCAGGTTGATTTTCAGTGTTGCTTCCTCTAGTGTTCTACAAAAGATCAATACAGAATTGGTTTTTCAGGGGAAAAATAAAGGCAGAACCCAAAGCAAAAATAATGGATACATGGGATTTCACTTTTGTTAGTTTGTTTTTATGTTCAAGTTAAATGCCACAATTCCATGCCGCTAATTTTGATGTACCAAGAGATCTGATTTTGCTTCTCTGCAAGTATGTTGGAGACAAGCCTGAGTACTGCAATGAGTTTTTGGATGACACCAACGAGCAAATAAAGAAAAACACTTCATGAATGCACATTATACTTATGATTCTTCCTTCTATCTGAAATTAATAAAGAACAAGTCTCGTAAAAAAGAAAGGACAACTTGAAGGACCTAAAGAAATTACCCTTCGTTGCATTGATGATCTGGTTCTAACATCCATCATCTCAACAAGCTCATCAAACTGACACAGCACACCCACAACTAAATCAATTTTGTTCTCGTCAAAACAGAAAGAAAAATATACTACCATGTTTTACCTTTCTTAGTCTTTCAACTAAGATTAGGTGTAAAACCATAAGAGTGTTAAACATTAATAATTACTAAAAACACTGAATATTTTTCACAGTACCAGTTTTGTCTGTCTGCAAATTTTCTTGCATGGTAATAAGAGTTAGAAAAAGATCATTTCTCTTTAGACTCACATTTTCCACAGTACCAGTTTTGTCTGTCTGCAAATCCCATGTGTCATCCAACTAGTACTTAATAATATTGTTGAGAAAAGAAAAAAAAAAAAAAACAAAAGAAGGAAAATCTATGTAGATCAAGTGATGGTGCCTACTGCCAAATATATATGGCTTTAGATATTAACATTGAAGTACCTGCTTTATCATTGTTTGATACTTCCTTAAACATTGGTATAGCCTTTTATCTTCTTCTTTTTCTTCTGCTTTGGACATTATCAGACTCTCGAATGATGAAATATTCAAGAATGGAGTAATTAAAAAGGTTGATAAATATATATAGCCGGTGGAGAGCTTGTCATGAACATGAAAATTTGGTGCTTTTTCAAGAATCTGATATGGCCGTTACCACCATACATATCTTCTTCTATAAGCAGCCAAACGCAATTCTTGTGATGACAAACCTTGTCAAAGCTTTTCAGTCTCAAGAGAGAGAGGTTAATACTCCTAGAAATAAGTAGGAAAAAAGGGCAATTGAAAGAGAATAAATGGCTAGCCAAAATAACAGGAGAATAAACGCTTTATTATAACTTTAACTACTGCCCATGTCTACCACCAATGAATTGATAAAACTGATGAATATCACATCAGAGGAGTCCTCTGCGTAGTTCATGAAAATGTGATTTCAATTCAGATTATCTTTTGTCTTCCAAAGATTTGGAGAATTAGTTTTCTTTTTATTTCATTTCATTTGTTTCTTTTTTATAGGAGAAAGAGATTGTAGATGTTAGCATTGGAATCTCAAACTTACCGACTATCACTTTTTAAAGGTAAATGTATGAACTAATATAACTACACTCTGGATTCATTCCTTTGTTTTCTTTTGCTTTTACCTTTTAGTGGAGTATCTTTCATTTCGCTATAGTGTGAGAATCAAGCCTTTTCTTCCACATGAAATGTGGAAATTTCAACTTCAGAATTTCTAAGTCAAAGAAACAAACTCAAGAAACATGCAACTAGTGTTGATTACATATGCATGAAACTAAATTTGCTGACATCTCAAATTACAAGTGTTATAGCTTAGCCCTAAATTCTGGGATTAATCTAAATCCTATTCTCTGTTCAACAATGACCATGAAGAATATAACCGACCATTATCAATTTCATGTGAAAGAATAAACATGAAGGATATTCCCTAAGCGTGCAAAGTGTGTATTGCAGAAACCATCCAAACCAGAAGGCACAGACCATTTTCAAAATGCTTGCAGAAACTTCTGTCTAAACTGAATATCTGATTGAGTCCAAACTACCAATGAAATCAAGTCATTTTCAGAACAGCAAGAACAGAAAGATGTATAGCAAACATTGTGTCGCAAAGTTGAAGCCGGAGCTTAATTAGCTCGGTTAGTTCATTTAGCCACCATTAAGAGGTGAAATACAGCAGGTATGGGATTCAAATGCTAGCTCTACAATCTCTTCTCCTATTCTCAGCATGCAGCCTCCTATGTACCTAAAAAGAAAAAGAACAATGTGTCGCAATGTTAGGCACCAACAGGCTAGTGTAAGAATGACATAGTTAATCCCTTCAGTCGACTTTTAGAAGCAAGCTTGAGCCTCATCAAAACATCCAATGTTGGGATAAGAAGAAATAATTATTCCAATGTATGAAGAGTAACCAGCACTGGGACTATCAGCCCTAGACAGGATAAGAAGAATCACTATCTTCAAAATGGTAATTCAATTATCAGCAACGAAAAGCGGGGAAGCAAGTAATTTATAATTTAATAATTGCTTTCCCTCAAAGATACAAATACTGTACTCAAAATGGAAAAAATTACCTTAGGAAACCTAGCAAAAATCATCTATGTACACTGTTGGTGCAATCAACAATAAAACAGATTGAAAAGGTTGCACAACGCTACAACAGAAGTACAAATTTCACCGATCAACCCTGTAAACAATCATCACTGGGATGCCAATGACCAGAAATTCAACAGAAAGGATGGTGACATGACAAACCAGCTGATAAAGGCCATTGCTGTAGCAGTCTCAAACCTAGTGCAGTGGTTGATAGCACATTTATCAAGACCATTGCCAATCAGAACTGTGATTCCAGCAGATGCACAAGCAGCAGCAAATGTAAGGGTGGAAGTGATCTGCACCAAAACATCACCAGCTTTATTGAACTGGCAAATGAAGTAAATCTCATAATTTAAGGCAGTGACCAAACATCCCCACCCCAGCACCCAAAGCTACCCTACAAAGATTGTGCAATGGCATACTAGCATGTGCATTGAGAAAAATAAATGTGATAAACAGTGTCAGATTATCCATTTCTATATACCTCTGTTGCCAAAAAGAGGAGAAAATGTTTTTGAAATTGGATGGAAACTTTATTTGCAAAGTCAGAATAGCCAATGCCTAGTGAAATGTACGTCAACAAGGCTTAAATTACAGTATAAGGGTCTCTTTCTTTAATGATTTAAATTATTAGATCCTTCGTTCTCTTTTAAAAGGTTTCTGCACGAACAGAAAAGGCAAAATGCAAGAATGACTATAATCTCCGGCATCTGTTATAATAACTTTAACCTCAAAGAACTGAAAGAAGTATTATGTGAAAAAATTCAACCTGCATACTCAATGTAATGAAAGATGTCTAAGCAAAATATTGGTTAACAAAACCAAATCATAGCTCCCATCAACTGAAGCTTTACTTTAGGTAACGACCTTACAAATTTATGAAAGGATGAAACAATAACAAGCATACAAATTTCCTAGAGTTAAACCAGTACATAAATGGCAAACCAAAATGATAGTTTCATGATAAGCCTTGCTGCAGACTTTATATGCATGATCAAGTGTCTCTTACCCCGTCACCAATGGTGAACAAACAGATCGCTATGTAGTTCCGCAGGCTGCGTTTCACCAAAAGGGCATATATGTCGACAAATGCCAGGGTCAGGCTCCACAAACTTTGCAAGCCAACAGCAAGAAGGAGGTAGCTGATGCATTAAAAGCATAAAATTAATATTCATGTTACAAAGAGGATTAAAATCATGAAATTATCATTTTTATCGAAAAGACAACAGTTTGTTGAAACTGTTTCATAATCTCAGCTCATGAACCAAAAACTGGTAACTGAAGCTAAATATACACAAGAAGAAAGAATGCCAAATTTTATTAGTATAAAGCATCTGAAGATAGTAAAATGTGGAACTTCTTTGAAGGAAGCCTGTTGAACTGACATAAATGCTATATATTCAGCTCTAAATTGCAAATGTCTAGGTTGCGACGTCAGACGAACTCAACATATTACATTATTATGTGCTCAGAACAGTTTGATTTAATCAAAAAGAAAAAGGTATTCTTGTGCCCACAGCTATATCGATCATCAAAGTCTAGACATTTATTCAAATGTATTACCATATAAAATGTGTTACAGACATAAGACATTATGGCAAATAAACAGGCATCTCAAACATAACAATTTTCCTATATGTCTGCTTGGAAGATCATAATTCTATTGAAAATTTTACACTATTGGGTTTTTGTATAAAAAATAGAAACTGGAATTCACACAGAGAAAGATCACAACTTACAATCTATTTAATACAACATTAAAAAACCCCAAAAAAAAGGAAAAGACTCAAAAGTCAGAATCAAAAAGGAAATGAAAAAAAAAGGGAATTACCAAAAAGCTGTAACGGAGCGGAAATCATTGGTGGTGGCCATTACAGAGACAGAAATAATGGCAAAAATGAACTGAGAAAGACGAAGAAAGAGGCCACCTTTAGTCCCAGGCATGCCTTGGACGTCCTTCATCCTCACTCTAGGATCGTGCACGGCAGCCTCCGTCAAAGGTGGAGCCTCCACCGGGTGCACAGAAGGACGGCTCACGTTCATTACTTCCTTTCCCTTCTTAGTCCAATTCGCTTCCTTTTTACGGAAAAGTAAGGACTTTTGTTGAATTGGAAGAAACAAAGCTCTAATATTTCATTGGTTTTTTTTTTTCGTTGTCTTAATTTCTTCCTGACAAAGTAAAATTGGAACTTGGCACGGCGTGTGGGTTGAGTTCCCCGTGTGCTTCGAACGAACTGCCGAGCTACTTGACTTTAGTTAAAAAGTCAATGCTGAATGGTATACAGTTGAATCTGAGCCGTTACTATCATGAACAGTGGGGCCTAGTCTTTTCGTACTGATGAGACTGGCATTATCTCTTACGAAAAAAAAAAAAAAAAAAAGCTCAAAATTCAGTAGGCAAATCACAAATGCTTGCTTTAGGCCTGCAAGTTGCAAAAGCTCACTTTTAAAAAGAGTACTTGTTCGTTTAATGTGGGTTTCATTTGTTCTTGTTGTTGCCAAGATTTTAAGGACGTTAGTTTTTCTTGTTCACCAAAAAAAAAAAAAAACAGAACAAGAAAATTATTATGGTATTGCAGTTGGATCATTGTTAAAAGAACACCAAAATTATTGATCATGCAAGGAAAGCTGAAAGAAACTCTCTTCTAATAAAGCAAGCAACTAGAGAAATAACCACTACCCATAATTGCCCTGCCTTATTAGCCTTTTCAATTCTCATTTCCGCACCAAAATTTTCATTACAGTTCTGCTTTTGAACATCCATGGTAAAAAAAATATTATAACATGCTAAATGTGCCTAGCATGATATATTACTTTGTTCTAGTTGGCTGGGAGAAATTCAACTCTTTGTTTTTTTTGTGTGCATATTTTATCCATAGATAAAAATATTATTAATATTAATTAATTAATTAATTTTTCGTATCTCATTTATAAATTTTTTTATATTTGATGACTCTCAAAACAGTAAAACAGGAATCATCGTAATAAAATATTAAATTTTGTCAATCTCAAATTAAAAAAAAAAACGGGATTCATCAATTAATTTATATTAATAGAAAGTATAAAAGGAAAAGGCCTAATGGGTAGTGGCGAATCCAGACAAAACTACAACAGGAGATTTTGGGCTGTAGCTATTGCAATTTTTAGGCCGTGAATGGGGCAGTTCGATACCTTGACGATGGAGAAAGGGCTTGATAGTAGGGTTTACCCTTTCTCCCTGTGAATAATGTTTTTTGGGCCCCATATCTGGGCTAAATAATTTCTGTTTTTGTGAATAATTAAGAATCATTTCTTTCTTTTTCTTTTTTTTTTTTTAACTTGAACAATAATGTCGCTTGTATTTTGTTTTTTTTCATGGTAATAAAAATTATCCTAGTTGTCAAACTATTACTAATAATATGGAAAACCTCCCGTTGTATAACCCAAGATTCAATAAATTTTTCCGATCAAAAAATAGTTTTTATTAGTATGTCGATGGTGCCTTATAAGATATATATTAATCTTTGTCAAAAATTATAAATAAATGATTAATTTAATTAATTAAAAATTTTCTTTTTGATAAAAAAATTTTATATTTAAAATTTATCGATAATAATTTATTGAAATTATTTTAAATGTCATATGTCATAAGTTATTAAATATAATATATTTTAATTTTATTTTAATATAAAAAATTAAATAATTTATTTATTTAAAATTAAAAAAAAAAAAAACCTTTGATATTTTATGAGTTGAAATACGACATTAATCCACATTTGAGAGCATTATTATTATATTTTATTATTGATTATTCATTTTTGACTATTTGACAGTGTCATTCCCAGCTTCATACGCAAACCATTCAAAAACAAAAGGGCTACTGTTGTCGTGTCACATGTTTGAAATTACACTGACACGTCACAATCGTGTGATAATCTAGGTGTCTGTCAGAGTCGTGTCATTAAAGTGCTTTCAAGAGGTGGACGTTGAATTTTGGACTAGTTTTGGTTAATTCAGTTAATATTATCAAAGCGTGGTTTAACTGTGGGGACCACCGCACGGGTTATTGGCTGCCATATCATCAAATACCCCGAATCTCTGTCGTTTCAAGAGGTGTCTTTTTTTCCACGGTTAAAAAAAAAAACAACAACAAAGACAAGCACAAGGACTTTTTGACAGTGACAAATTTTTGTTTGTGTACTACCAGAACATTAGAAACTGGGGACTTTTTTTTTTTTTTTTTCATATTTAATTGTTTTTATTTATTGTAATACTGTTCTTCTTATGATTTGACTCTTAAAATTGATGCATTTTTTACCTATTTGCATTTGAATTTTTTAAAATTAAAAAATTATCAACGATTTATTGATAAAATATTAAAATTTTAATTTTAATAATTAAAATTTAAATCTTGAAAAATTTAAATATAACAAATAAATGCAAAAAAATAATTAATAAAAAATTAAAATTTATTGATGCATGCATGCAAAGGCAAAACAAAAAAAAAATTCATGCATGGGACAAATTATTGTCATTTTTTTAAAATTTAGCAAATTATCAGGATTCAATTAATTTGATCGTAAAAATCGAATAATCAATTTAATTTATTTAATTTATTGTAAAAATCGAATCGATTGATATATATATAATTTAAAAATTAAATCAAATTAAGGTGATTGATTTCGGTCGATTTTTTTGGATTAATCATTTTTGGTTTTTATTTTTTGCATTAAATATACTTATATCATATATATTTTTTAATTATTTAATTTATATTAAATCAAGTATTTTGATTTATTCGATTTAGATATTTTAAAATTAAAAATTAACCATTTTAATCATTTATATAACAAATTACTAGACCCAATTTTCCCTGAAATTTTTTTTTTATTTTAACCAAATTCTGCTTAGGCCTAATTCCTTTAACAGCTTTTATGGGGCATAAATGCACCTCCATTTTTGTATATATTTTAAATGCAATAACTTCCTAGAAGCTTCAAAATTAAATAACAGAGACAGCCAAATCTTTCCCCCGGACATGAAAATCCCTTCATTTTCTTCACAGAATAACAGCATCAATCAATCTCTCTTCCATAATAAAAAAAAAACTTTGATTTCACTACTACCATATAAAGACTACGTATATATGAACTCCACAGCATTTAATTTACGGCTTTCTTATTCCAAAAGCATGAAGAACAAATTTTCATTTACCCTATCCAAGTAGAGAAAAGCATTAGTCCTAGATTTGACACTCGGGATTTGAAAAAATAAAGTACAAATTAATATTTGAACAAGAAAAATGTACAAACAGTCTCTCGACTAATTAATACAATTGTATGCCATGTGTTAATTAAAAAATATTAAATGCCACATGAAAAGTTCACGTAATTCACACGTCATATTCACGTTTGCACTAACATTGCAATACTTAATTAAAAATTTTTCTCATGTTATTTTTTTTTTTTATAAAACAACGATGACATCCATTAATGGATAAAAAATTATATAATTTTAAAAATTAAATTAATTGATGGACTTAAAATTTAGAGTGATGAATTTTATGTTTGATTTATTCAAATATTAATTTGTATTTTTTAAAATTCTGATACCAAATTGAATTGGCTTTCAGAATTGATTACTTTCCCTAAACGAGTTTTCATTGATTTTTTTAGTGCAAATAGCCAAAATGAAAGAAGGAAAGAGAAAAAGAAGTTAGAGAAAGTCAAGAATTGCAGACAAATTAACCATGCTCATTCAATGCAAATGACGTACTTGTCTCACGTACCCTGGCCCTCTTTTCCCGTGACTTGGATCTTTCAATGCAAAACCCCTTTTTTCCTCTTTTGCTTTCTCTTTTCTTTCAGTGTTTGACAGCAGACAGTTTCTTGACGTAATTTTAAAGCCAAAAAGTAAACCCTAGGGAGGGGACCTCGTAACGTTCTACAATACCTAGACACCAATAATGTTGTTTATTTTATAGGCGGTTTATTCATCATCTTGTGAAGAAAAGTGGGGAACTGAAATCGAAGCCTAGTAATAAAAGCAACGCTTTGGGAAAGGTTCTCTCTTCCTTTCGTGTTTTCTGAGTGTTTTGACCATTGGCTATGTTCGAGTTGTTGACTGCATGGTTTTTGCATTAAATTTAACAAATAAAAAACCAAAAAAGAAACGAAAAAAACCCAATTTGTTTGTTGCTTTTAGCAATCATATTGCCAAAGTGTATATATATATATATATATATATATAAATGAACAGGTTGTTTGTGTTTTAGAGCATTGCATGTAATTACATACAAAAAATGGGTTTCATCATTTCTTGTAAGGGTTTTAGAGCCACGTTTCAACTTGATTATCATGATTTTTTGTGCAATCATGCTGTAGTAAGACATTTGAGTAACCAATTGTGGTGCGATTATTGCAAAAAATTTGTAATGTAATCCCATTTTCATACCGAACATTATTTCCTTTAATGAAAGTTCTTTTGTCTAATATAATTCTCTTTTTCAATATTATCCTAATTTTTTTAGTTTGTCTTTCTCTTTTACCCTTAAAATTATATAATGGACAAGTATATCTTTACATTTATATATATATGTATATTTATGGACAAATATTATTATTAATTTTTAACGAATTTATAATTTAATAAAAAATAAATTCATTAAATTTTAATTATTTGTTAAATTTATAAATATCAAATATATTATAAAATTTATTAATACAATTTTAATATAATATATTTAATAATAAATTTTTATTTTTATTATATTTTACTTTATTATTAATATTATTTTTCATTTAAACGTATATTTTAACATTAATTTTAATTTCATAATTATAATAATTAATTTTATTTTTATTATTTTTTATCTAATCGAAATTAATTTTACTGTTTATCTAAGGATACGGTCTGATCGGTAAAAGGACATGCTGTTTGGGTCTCTGCCCATCCCATTCAAATATAAAACTAAAAACCATTTTCTTCTTGATTTCATTGAAAACAAGAAAGCCAAAGAGCCGGGTAAAAAGCCGCAGTCAAAGATGAAAAGGGCTAGGCGAATCAAGAAACACGGGCAGCAGCCCAATCATCGAAACGGCGCAACACATGCACCGCTTTAGCTGACGTCGACCACACGTGAATCTATTAACCATAATCTTAACTTTTAAAACTAAATTTTTTTTTCTTTTCCGCACATGGGTCCCCTCACTTCTCGCCATTTTCACACACATGCGGCTCTGATTCAGATTAGGGATTTGACAAAATGTGTTTTTATTTCTTTCTGTTGTGCTTCCCTCCTCTTTGTTTCTTTCTACATCTATCTAGTTGCTTTGGATCAATTAAGATGTGGGGCAAGATTTACTACGTCAAATTGAAAACAATGGACATTGAAATTAAAATATGATAAAATATATGTTTATGATGTAAATGAATGATAATCAATTATATAATTAAATTAAAGACATTCAATTATCGTAATTAAAAAATATTTATATTTTAATTTTATATTAAAACAGTCAAATATCTTGCTTAGAATAAGAATTCAACTAACCATTAAACAGCTTTCCTTTCCATCTTCAATAGAGAAATAATGACTTTTAACCATACCATAAAACACTGTCTAAATACATTTCACAATGTAATTGAGGTTTTTTCTTGAACTAGATTTCATGGCCATTTATGTTTGACAATTGACAAACAACTTTTGCAATCCCAATGTCTAATTTTTTTTTTTTTAAACTTTAAAGTTAATATTTGATACATTATCATTATCGGTGAATCAGATGATGATAACTCATTAATAGGTAAATATAAACTCTTAAAATAAATGACACAAATTAAAATAACTTACTATTAATGAGATAATATCATATGATTTAACTTATTAATGAATTGTTATTATCTGATTTACTAAAATTTATACACTAATATATATTAAATATAAATTCTTAGTTTAATCCCCACACTTGCCTCATCAGGATGAGACATTTTTTTTGCATTAAATTTTAAGCTATTTTTTTTTAAATCTAAGCGATTGAGATTTAGTACTTAATATTTATGTTAATTAATCTCAATATATCTTATTTATTATCATGTGATGGAGATGACTTGTGCCCGTAATTTTGTTTTTGTTTTGTTAAATAAAAAACCTTTGGGATTAACAAATTGTAGAGATTAATTAACCAAGAATCTTTATTCATAATTGTTAGTGGAGAGCTGAGAATTGAGAGTGAAAACCCTAAAATTACACAAAATAAGAAGAACAATAAAGAGTAAAAATAGGAAGTATTTTTTGTGTTTGTATTTTAATGCTCAAGTCATATGTCAGAATAAAAGAAGTCCAAAAGAGAGAAAAATAAGAAAGTAGAAAAAAAATCAAATGAATAGATAACACCTTGATAACCCTATTTATAAGTAAAAGATGAGAGATATATGAGATAAAATAGTAACATAATCGAGTTTATATAATATCGTACATATCAGATAGATCAAAAAATAAAAAATATATCTAATTATTTGCTAATAATTTCTAATAAAAAAATGATCAATTTATTTTTTGAACCGAAAATATTCCTTCCAATAATCTATGGGAATCGATCTATCGTCGTGCAAAATATCAGATTCCACCTTAACAAACACATGTCCCAATTGATAAAGTCAACTCAACATATGTTTTTTTTTTTTTCATTTTTGTAATCTGATTAGACCTTTAACAACCAAGTTTAATTTTATTTTATTTTTTTTTTAATTCTAGCTTTTTTATTCATACACGGAACAATTGTTTTCCAAATGCATCCAAGAAAAGATAAAGTTCTACCAGCTAGAAATGCAAACAAGAGAAAATGGACATGCTTTGATTGATCCGTCAATGGGAATTAGTAGAGCGAGGCAAGAAAAAGTGGTGCATTTACTTACTGTTAGGTGCCTTTTCATTGGTCATGGTACTTCCACATGAGCATATTAAATAATAAAAGATCTTCTTAATGGTATTATTTAATTATTATTATTTTTAAATAAAAAATAATATAAATTTCCGCAAATATCATCCTAATCAATGCCACTAAACACTGATTGACATTCATCAATGATAAAAGCACAGCGACATTGGCATATTGAAGGGTCTATAAATAACTTTTAAATTCCATAGCAAGATTGATGCTACCAACACTTACATTTTTTATATTGTAAATTATAAATTTTTATATAAAGAAAAGTAAGATTGATTCTTGGTTCATATTTTTATGGGTTTTTTAAACAGGTGCCTGTAAGGTATTGATTGAGGTAATTAAAACAATATTTAAGGAAATTTTTTGCATTTATGCACTATTTTAACTAAATTAATAGGCAATTCATTAATGTATATTTTTTCTTAAACATCACTTTAACTAGTGTTATTAGGCACTGATTAACATTTTCTTATTTTATTTAGGTTTTCTTTGATTAATATTTTTATTATTTGCTTTTTACTTTTTCATGAACATTTTCATAAAACAAAAGTAAAAAATTAAAGTAACATTATATTATATTTTAATTTGACAAGCAATTGAAATGTAACTCAAATTATATCATAATTGGTGTGTATAGAGATATAATAAAAACATTTTGCAATCTAAAGAGATGAAAATTTGTATATACAGTCAAGTGCTATTTGCTTTGGAAAACAAAAACAAATAGAAAAATAGAAAAAATTTCAATTAAATTATTGTACTTTGGTCTAGTAGGTTGTAATAGAAATATTCAGCTTTCTTTTTTTTTTTTTAAGCTTAGGGTAATAAAAATCAATCTTGATACATGCACAAGGAAACCCTTAACTTCATAATTATAAGAAATGAATTACAGCCAAAGAGAGGAAAAAACTAGTAAAAGGGGCAAAAAGACCCTGTAATACATAGATCATGTCCTACAAATTGACTTGGTACTTGTAGGAACCGGCTGCCTATGGAACCAGGAAATCAGAAAGGAACAATATACCAACAACAATGTTTACTGAACTCTGATCTTAAAACAAAAGGCTTCAAAATCCAAATAGCCCTCGCAAACAATGGAAAAAAACAAAAAACAGAATATGGGAGGATTTTAAGGGTTGGTAGTCCAGAACTTGGACTGAAGCAGCTCCTCCTACAACTTAAAAAAGGTGAATAGGTCAGCTTGGGATAAAGGATTCGAGCAATCAGCTGTACAAGTTGAAATCAAGGTTTGTTTCTTCCTCTATACTCTCCTCCGTTGTCGCTGCTTGAATCCATTAGAATTGTTAATCTCCTTGCGGTTTTCATAAAGTCACTGCAATGGGAACGAGAACTTGATCATTATGACTCCTTTTTAGTATAAGAAGAAGATTTGTAACAAAATGAGCCAACAAAACTAGAAAGATAAACGAGTTTTACCTGAATAGTTCATCTCCAATTTGTTTGACTGCACCTGTAGCATCCCGATAGAGTAAATGGCTCAGAGTCCCAGAATTTTTCATACCGAACATCTCTGCTAGCTTTCTGTGCAATTCATCATAAGACCCCAGCAATGAAAGGTCAAGAGTACGACCTACATCCTCCGATTCCATGAAAATTTTACAGTGACCAGTCTCTAAGTTGGGTTCAGCTTCTAGGCGATTATCCTTATACCACCGGAAATCTTCACGGGTTGTGCACTCTGGCGGGCCTTGTCGATGAAGTGCAGATCCAGAACCATCAGAAAAGTTTGCTGTCTTATCTAGATTCCCGTCGGAAGAACTATTTCCAGTAAGCACTGGAGAGATTGTATCAACAGAGCAGCTGAGAGAGATTTGCTGTTCAGTTAGGATTGGCTGACCAAAAAGTACAAGATGATGCGTCTTCGCATCATCAGTTTTCTTAGAATTCTGGGTAGAATGGGCCATGGTTAGCACGCGAGAAACATTCTCACTCATGCTAGGCTTTTGAACGATTGAGCCACCATTGGAGGTCTTATTGGGTGTAGCAGCATGATCAAGTGGCGAGAAACCACCTGGATAGAGACCTGACTGCAGTTTATTGAGGTGGAGATCCGATAAAGATAGACCATAATGAGCATGCCTGGCTCCCTGCATGCCAGCAGGAGTGGTGTTGGGTAGAAACCCAAAAGGGTTGCTGGAACCAAGGAGGTTGCCGGAAAATGTTGGCATTGGAAGTTGACAATCAAGGGGAAAATCTGGGTGCTGAGGCAGTCTCAACTTCTTCCTTGGTGGTGAAAAGGGAGATAGATGAATTGTGGGCGGCATGTTTGAAACCAATTCCACCAGCCAAGGACTGACACGTTTTACATTTAGAAGCAAATCTGGCTCGTCCCATGTAACCTGCAGGAAAAAACTGGAGCAAATCAGAACAAATTGAAGGAAAAGAAATCAATTTGGTTGGGTAAACAACAAAAAGTTCACAAGCTAACAATTACATGAGAAAAGTGATGCAATATCATATTCTAGGTGTCCCTTCCTGGGATCCAAATAATGGAATTCAATCATGCCATTACAGTAAGTGTAATAATATGATGCGCAATGCCCTGTTCATGTTTTGGCTTTTCATTTTTTTAAAAATTTATTTAGAAGAGAATCATGGAGAATACCACAGTGAGAACCAAGTAAGTAAGAAAAAACCAGGATATCTGGTCAATGACATCTATCATATCAGTTTGTAGCACAAGATTCACACTTATTAACATATACATTGCCAAATAAATTGGCAATTTATGACCTACTCAATCAGAGAACAGAAGTAAGCTATCCTAGAAACAGCCAGGAGTTGCAATTTTAAACCATTGTTATAAAAAACATAAGGTTGAATACATAGATGCATCAACTGAACATAATGGAGAAACCATACAGAAACACAATTAGAGGAGAAAAGAACCAAATTGGTTATAGATCTAAAATTGGGGAACAGAGATATGGACCGATAGCACCAGGTAAATCAGAGAAACTAATAAAACGCGAGGGATTTCTTCGAATTCAACAAAAAGGAAAACACACTTGAAGGATCACATGCAATCCTTCAAGGTGATAGTACCTGAAGAAGCCTCCAAGGTGAGTCAGGCCAGCGGAGGGGATCAGCAACTTGAACAGAAGATATAGTGCCCATAAACCAACTAATCCGTGAAGAATCCTCTGTTTCAAAGGCCATTTTAAATCTCATTCCTGAGCACCACCGTATCTGCAATGCTGTCTTCACTAAAGAGGCCTTCACACAGAACTCGGGGGTACTCGACCTGGGGTAGTAAACAACATCAAACTGTTGTCCATTGGCAGCGAGAGTTGCAGCTTCAATAACTTGTTCAGGTCTAACCTTTCTCTTCCCCATCAAATTGCTATTTGAGCTAAGCCCGTTATTACTGCAATTTCTCATCAACTTGTTCTCATCTTCCCTCAGAAATGCTGAAAACCCTCCATATGGCACCATACAATTTCCACCAGTAACATTCCACCCAGACGAAGACTCAGGTCCTCCCCCAATCCCTCTCTTAGCCCTTCGAATACCGACGCAAAGATCCCCATTCTCAGCCCTCAAGAACACAATTGAATCCCCAGCTACAAGCTTCTTATGGTTCACAAAAGTGCTCCATCCCGTAGTCAAAAGATGTCTCCTCGGCGTCCCCCTATATATATGCCTAAACTTCCAGGTCTCCCCATGGACATCCTTAGCAAGAATAGCCTGAACAGGGGGATCAGCGGAGTAATCCAATCTTGGAAATATCGTCTCAGCACAATATCTTGGAACAGAAAAACCACCACCATTGTTTGCATCTGACTGGGTCAATGTCTTTGCAAAAGAAGCCGGCTTTTCCTGTGTTTCATTTCCATGAATGCTTCCAATACCATCATCTTCAAAATCAGGCTCATTAGTACTAACTGGGATCAGCCTAATTTTTGCGAAAACCTCATCGGTCTCAGGATCGGCCATGAACTTAACAGCAGCAACTCTGCAGAGTATATAAGCCGGTATTCGGGGGCATTTACTGAAATCAACAGGGCCACAAGCGTGCTCAGCATGGCCTTGAGGGAAGTAAAAGACTTTGGTGTTAACTGAAGGCATCTGAACCATTCCTCCAGCACAGGCATGCCATAGCTGAGAATCCAAGCACTTCTCCATCTCCTTTAGTTTCTCATTTGAGTCCATAAAAGTAATCATCTCAATCAAAGCAATGACTTTAACAGTAAAATTTTCCGTTTCCTTTTCTCTCTAAGTAAATGCTGCAAAAAAAAAAAAAAGAAAAGAAAAGAAAAGGAGTTGCTCATAAGTTCAACAAAGAGAGAGAGAGAAGAAATCAGAAATAAAGTAGTTGAATTGAAATTGTTACCTTGAAAAACATATATGATCAAGGAACACCGTAATTAAGAGTCCTTTTGCCACGTCCAACAAAATATCCAGTGAGGATCTTCTTTGATCGTCACCAGAAAGAGAACCCAAAACAAAAACTTGGAATTCCACAGAATTTCAACATTTTGTTACCGAAAGAAGGAGCCAACTTCGGATTCCAAAAAGCTCCATTTTTTTTTTCTCAAAACAGCTTAAGCTTCATCACCAAAAAGCCCCTTAAAACTCTATATTTCTTCAAGTCGAACAGCTTTCTTGCCTCGCTTTAGCAGCTTTGAACACCAAAATCTGTAACTAGGAAGCACTATAAGTGAACAAAATTGAAGCCAAAAAAACAAAAAGTCTTTTTTTTTTGCTTGTTTGTTGTCAAAGAATCAGAGACAAATTCACTTTCTCTCCACGAGGGAAAAAACCACTGTTCAATTCACCAAGTTTGGAGTTCAACAACAAAACTTGTACTTCCAAGATTAAAATCGACAGAAAAAGAAAAACCCAGAAACCAAAACACGCACAAAAGAAGTTCTCTGCTATTTCTCACACTCTCTTTGATCGCATAAAAGAACCTAAACTCTCAAGTCTCTGTAATCAAAACCTCGTCCAATTTCTCCTCCTATAAAGACCCAAAGAGGATAACTAGGAATATAGAAAAAGAAGAAAAAAACAGTGATGAATCTTCTTTGGGTGTCTTTCTTTCAAAGATTCAATCAAGAATTATTCGTTGGCCGACACACAAGCAGATAAAAATGCCATTAGCACACAAAGAAGAAGAAGAAAGAAAAAGAAAAATGAAATATAAAGAGAACACCTTTTTGGAACATGCAAGAGTCCAAAAAGCATACACTGACAGAACATAACATCCTTTTTAACACCCAAAATCAATTTCATTGATTAATTTAATTAATTGATTGAGTATTAAATTAATATTTATCGATTAATAAAAATATTTTTTTAAAAATTTAATTTTTCGTTAATTTGATTTAAAATTTTAATTAATTAAATTTTAATCAAAATATAATATAATTTAAATATAAAATAAAAAATATATTAAATAAATTATTTTATTTTATAAATTGTTAAATTTTTTAGTATAATAATTTGATAATTAAATATTTTATTAAATAATTTTGTTCAATTTATTTAAAATATAAGAAATTAAAAATTAAAAATTAAAAATTTAATTTAATTTAAATATATTTATTATTAAAATTAACCAAATTAATTGAATTAAATTCTACTATTAATTTTTAAAATTAATAAATTTAATTTGATTAATAATAATATAATAAAATAAAATACTTTAATTAATTTAATTTAAAATTAATCTAACCAACAAATAAACATCGCCTAATAATTAAGAGTGCCATACTGCCATTGGACTACCACCACCTTCATTTTTATTTTTTATTTTTAACAAATAACTTTAGAAATTAAGAAGTAAATTTGTAATTTCCTTTATTTATTACTATTATTATTTATGCCATTACCCATTTTCTTCGGATTTGAAGGAAGTAAACTCTATTGGAATCTTGAGAATCCAGAAAACAACAAAGATCTTTAAAGGAACCTATCCATATTTCATTTTTTATTTATTATTATGTCATATTTTTTAAATAATTCTCATTAAAATATTGGTTTATGAATTCCCTCTACGGGAAAAATAATCGATAAAATTTTTTTGTTAACCAATAACAATGCGAGTTAACCGTGGTTGATGGGTGTTTCGAAGTTTTAGTCAACTAGAGTTTGAGTGTACCTTTGTTTTGGTTAACCTCAAATTGTTTCACTTCCTTTTGGATTGAGGATATTGTTCTCTGCTTTTTCCCCACTCTCTCTTTCCGCGAGTGTTTACACGCTGCACTCAATGCTAGCAAGCCACTAAATATGGTTTTTGCTTTCAATTACTCCAAATATATTTGTTAATATCATTATTTATGAAAATATGTTCACTTAATATATTAAGAGTTACGAACAAAATATCATATAAAGAGACTCACTTGTAAAAAGGAGGAAATATTTTTTATTTGAATAAATTAAGTTTAAAAATACATGTAATTTCATTAAATCAAATATTAAAAAATTATGTGTAAAATTTGATTGTTCATTGAACATAAAATTATTAATGAAAGTTTCTCAAAAAAATTATTATATGTTTTTGCTTTACAAATATAATATATTTTTGGATGTTTCTAATAACATAAAGTACTATTCTTATTTTGATATTTTTAATTTTTAGAATTTTAGTCCCGGTTAAAAAGGGTTAAAAATTTTTCTACTTATCGATGCTTCGTTATAATTTCGAATCCATTATTATATGTTTGTTTTAATTTTAATTTTTTTATATTAAAATAATTTTTTTTATTTATGCGTAATAAATTTCGATGTATCGAGGATATCTATAATTGTATAAGCTTTAATTTTTGTGTTTTTTTTAATTATTGGTTTAATTTATGCATGACAAAAACAAAACATTGGAATGGTCTTAATTTTTGAATATTTAAATAATAAAAAAAAATAAAATAATAACATTGAATATGAATTCTATTAAATTTCGGTTACTTGATAGATCAACTCAGAATTTATTATTTCAACTATTAAAAATAATTTCTACTTTATTAAATGGTGAAATTGGGGTTTTTTTTTTTAAATTTTAGGGTGAATTATAGAATAGTCTACATTTTGGAGGCGCGTGAGGCTGAGATTAGAGATTTATAATTTCATTTGGTTGGGTGAAGGGAAGCCGGCCGGCATGGGAGGTTTTTTTTTCCTTCCTTCCCTGTTATATTTGAGTTATTCTACAGACATGACCAAAAGTAAAACCAGAAAACTTTTGTTGGGTATATTGCCAGTTGCCTCTTTCTTTTGACAACAAAAAGAAAATCATACTCCCACGCGAAAGTTCACAGCGCGTGAAGTTCGCAGCTGACGAGATTTGTTCTCAGCACTGACCCAACAGAGGCAGCTCGAAGGAAACTGGAAGCGAAAAAGAAAGGAGAGTTTCCACTTCAGTAAAATTCAAGTTTACTCTGTTTGACAGATACCAGATTTGGATGAAGAACAGGAACTGAGTGAAGCATTATTTCAAAACCAATTGAGTTATACTCCAAAGTAGTTGAATCTTTAAAGGAAAAAAAAAATCTTTTATAATGAAGAAAATTTAATATTCAATCAAACAAAAACAGTAGGAATTGAATGGGGGAAGGAAATGTAAAAAAATGATGTATGGTAGCATCAGGCACAGTGCTGTGTTTCTTTCTTCTGATCTGAAAGATGCAGCACAAATTTCGAAGGTGAAAACTATTGATGAACAGAGATTTAATCAGGGGTATTTCTGATCAAGTTCTGACCCTTGAAGTCTAACCAAATATTTACAGCCGTAACTTGAGAGTTACAAGCCTGTTTAGTAAGCAGTGAAAATTACCTGAAAGTTGAAATCAGGTCAGTTTTTTTGTTACAACTTACAAACATAACTGACATAGACAGCTTAGTGGCCTAAAGTTCTTCAATAATGTGAACTGTTAAGGGCTGCTGCTAAGGCTAAGCTTATCCTCTTATCCTTCTGCTAACCCTAAAAATGGCCAAGTTGAGCTACAAATATAGGTTTGGCAAATTAAAGAGTTTTTGGAGTTCAGGGATGTCAAGACTAAATGGTGATATGCTCCTTTTTTGGGGGGGTGGGTTGGGACATTAACCCTGAAATTCTAGGCCTTGAGAGGGGTCAACCTAGAAACCAGGGTTAATGTCAATACTCAAATTTCAGATTACTTATTTTCTTCTGTTACATGCCCTGCAGGTTGCTCAGCGAATCAGCTTAAAGAAGGGGAGAAGTTAACTTAAGGTCCATGAGCCATAAAGTAAGCAGTGTAAATTTTATTTTGTCAAGAAAAAGGGTGAGCGGAGGTTTCTCTATTTCAGGTCCAGGGCAGATCACATGCATTGGATTATTGGTAGTGAGATTTAGACCTAGGCCTGTACATGCGAAGTATTCGAATTTTACCAACTCAACTAATCTCGTTGGCAAAGTAGTGTGAAAATTTTCAATCCTTTTACAATACTTATTTACCAATTTAGTAACATCTGATTTGAACATTGAGCTAAGTGTTATGAAGTTATCTCAAATCAAGTTGAGCTAATTAAGATAGCTTGTGCCCAAGCTAAGTTGGGATTTTAGAAGACAGCCTCACACCTAACTTCCCTTGTTTGTAACATGCAACAGATACTTAAACAGGCTGGAGTTCCAACACTTGTACTCGGAAATGCTGGGCAACATGTTTTTTTTTTCAAAGTTTTGGGTCAATTAATGTGTTGTGTTTTAATTAGGGTGGTTTATAAATTAATGGTCATAAATCACCAAAATTTAACGTCAAAGTTCAGAATATTATGAACAAGTGACCTGCAAATGAAATTTAAAGAAAGCTCCCCCTTTTTCTTCATGGACAGCCAGTGAAATTAAGTTTAAGAAAGATTCATTCGTTCTTATACTATATCTGGTAAGGATTTAAATGGCTGACAGTACAAGACAAGAAATTCCTGGAGATGAATTCCCCAGCAGTAATCAAAAGCTTTTACCAACAAATCCAAAGATTAATGACAGTTTAGCATCGGGTTGTCATATAGGGTACACAAATCTGCTGCTGCAACTGTTGGAATCATAATTTAAAATTCACATCTGCTGGCTTGTTCATTCAACATACTACTCATCACTCCAACTGAAACTTGAGACTTTGAATCCTCATTATTTCTGAAATAAAGTCTGCAGAACACATATAGAAAGATTCTAACCCTCTGATTAAGGGATGCTTCAGGTTCAGGCTGATGTGTATCCTTCTTGCATCATGAAAAAGGAAAGATCCACTTTTCAAATCTCTAATAACCTCATTGAGTTAGAAAATTAATTAAAACTTGGACCATTCACAAAACTTCACATAAACTATGAAAACCAAGAAGAGATTAAGAGAAAGAAACCCCAATCTGAAAATGCCAGATATAGAAGCATTATTCCCTTACACTGTAAAACTAAGGGGGCATACTTTTTGAGCATTTGTTGCCTTTGGTGCAAATGACAAGGAAAGAGACCCATTAACCACAACATTAGCGGCATTAGGACCCCACCCTTTTTTGCGGAGATGAAACCAAAGTGGTTGCAAGGAAGAAACAACAAACCAAACGTGACGATGAGCCCATCTTCCCTAACATCATCATTAGAACTGAAAACCCATATATCATCAATTAAAATACAATCTGGCCCACGTCAAATGTAGGTGGCATTTGTCCCCCTTCTCCCTCAATTCCTTCGGACATCCATCATGCATACGCACTACAATCCCGACTCTTCCTCCTTCCCCTAATAAACCAGCTAACCCGCCCACAGTGTGGGTCACAATTAACAAATAACGACCAAACACATTTTATTTTTAACTCGATCTTGTCTAACCCAAAATCCCCATTTATAAAGGTAGAAAATTTGGAATATTTTTGACAGGTTCATAAATTTTGAAGGTTTTAGCCTTTGTGGACCTTCAACATATGCTAGTCTAAGAGGGTTTATATTTTGGACCTTCAACATTGAAAGGGGGAGGGCCGTAAAAAAAATTTCCTCACCCAATGTTCATTTTTTGTTGCATAATTGAAGGTGGGGTTACAAAGTGCAAACATTCAGATAAATTCAAGAGTTGAGAGTCACATATTTTAGGTGTCCTAAGGAAATAATATCCAATTTATTCCCATATGAATTTCAGTAATTTATGCTTAGAGGAAAATCATTTTATCACCGAACGAAAAATGCCATTAACGATCTATTAAGTTGTTCTTTTCACCTCTTTGTATCAAGAACGTAGTCACACATAATTTTCGAAATCAATTGATCCCATTTAAATTTTAAAAAATTAAAATTATATATGTATAAATTAATAAAATTAGTGTAATTTTATTATTTGCGTAGCTTTTACAATAAAAAAAGTTGAATTAATTTTCTTGCTTTTCATTAAATTACAAAAACATAGAAAATGACGTAGTGTCATCAACCATGGAAAGTGGTCCATCATAACTATCAATTTCTCATTTTTTCTCTTTTATTTTCTATCTACCTATCTTTTCTTTAAATATATATAAATAAAAACTTATTTATTTATTTAATGGATGAATTGCACAACGAAAATACTCACTAGATTACTTCTCCTTATTTAAATAATATAAAATATGTGGGTAAAAATTATAATATAATATTATATCTTATCAAATTATTTGGCCAGTTCAAAAATTTTATTATTTCCCTTTTAGTAGCAGAAAATTTTCGAGAAATTAATTTGACACATGCATAAACGTAAAGAGGAAACAAGCAAATTAAAATTACATGTGAAACATTTTATTCCATTGAAAAAAAAAAAGGATGTTTAATTAGTTGGCGCAACCGAAAGGTGGCTGGCCCAAACAATAATCCCATTAACACTATAGTAGGAAAATCATTTTTAATTATTGCTAGTAATTTTCGATAAAGCATTAACAAAGTTTTTTTCCTGAGTTTTTCAAGTAAAAAAATAATTTTTAATTAGTAGTATTTTTTATGTTTGTTAAATTAATTTTTCATTTTTCCTTTTGCTTCTAGATGTTTTTACTTTCTCCATCAAAATTATAACTTTTTATTAATTAATTGATTCCATAAAGTGCAGTTTGTTCTATAATAAGTTTTCCTCACTAACCAATAAAATGTTGCCAAGTGGAGATAATAAGCCCAACGTCTCGTGATTTGAAAAATATTTTTTTTTGATCAAAACATTTTTGAGATAAATAAATTATTTAATTTTTTAAATCAAAATAAAATATATCATATCTAATAATTTAAAATAAATAATTATAAAAATTATATATTTAAAATTATCTTAATATATCATCAGTCAATTCGAGAAATATTTCTAACCATAAGTTCACGGAAACAATCGAGTTACAACGTGGCGAAATCTGATTGGGTAAAGGGTTTGATACCTGGGGGCTGGATTTTCATGTGAATCTCTAACTGGCACACCATAACTTGACAGCTACAAGACAGCAAAAGAGAGCAGACAAAGGGCGTGATGTGTCTGATTCTGACACAGAAATCTCGCACGTGTCATTTTGTGGTAACCGTGACGTATTTTTTGACTGTCTTAACATCATCATGAAAAAAAAACAAAACTATGACATGACCCCACTGTTGACAGCCTCCCAAATCTCTGTTCTCATATTTTACTTTTTATTTATTTATTTACAATAAATTTTGATAAGATGATTAATGGCAAATTTTGTGGTGGACGATTCACCATCTTGAAATATCTACCGTCAAATTGATTGATAAATACTATATGATGAAAAGATTCCATTTATGTTTTTACATGATGTGAAATAACACATGCTTACTATTTTAAGTAAAATTTTATATTTAGATATGCTAGTTTTATTTCATTCTTGTTAATTAATAAAAATAAAAATATAATCTTCAAATTTTTAGTTTAATAATTAAAAATATTTTAAGAGATATCAAAATTTAATTTTAAATCAAAATTTTCTTTTTTTTTATTTATGTTAAAATTTTATTATCCTGATGTAATAAAAAAATTAAAAATATGAACACATAAAAGAAAACTACACATTGAATTTTTAATTTAATTTGATTATTTTATTCAACTATCATTTTAAGATAATGTTTAATAAATTTAAAGTTTAAATTTAATATTATAAATTTTTATATTATTAATTAAAAAATAGATAAAGATAATGTTTTCATATTTCAACTACTGATTATAAAGTTTGTTTTTTTGTCATTTTTTTCCTTTTATGTATAATTGTTCAACAAAATTGATTATTTTTAATATTAAAGCTTTAAAATAACTTTTTCCCCTTCTTTGTTTGAAAGTCAAAGGCATTTTGAGTACCTTTTTTTTCTTCTTCATGACTCATGGCCTATTTGTTATTGGTCAATAATTAGCTTCTCTAATTCAGTCCACGAGCTTTATAAAAAAAATAATTTTAAAATGAGACTATGAGAAAATACTTATTCCCACAATCTAAAAATAAAAATATAAAAAATTATTTAATATACTATAAATAAAATTAAGCTTCATCAATCGAATTAGATGATTGACATATACTTCATTAAAATATATTTAATAAAATAATATATTAATATAATAAAAAAACATATAATTATTTTTTAAAATTTACTAGTAAAATTTAAAAACTATACCAATTATTTCTCAATATGACAATTTTTTTTTTATTTTTTACATATTGTAAAGTTCTTAACTTCTATTTTATGCATGGGCTAAGCTTAAAGATTTAATTGGGCTTGATCCAATCAAACAATTGGGTTCAATGACCGTTCAAGTTAAGGGGCTTAGCTAATGAACCCTGTCCATTGGATCATTTCTCTTGGTCTATAATTGCAAGAGACCATAGACCCAGGCAGGCACGCTGCTGCTGACTGCATTTAATTGAAACACAAAAAAAAGAACCAAGCTGAAGAACGGATGTTCATTGCTTCAGGAAAGCTTATAAACCATGAATTTTTTATTGCATAAAAACAGGTTAGAAGCAGTTTTAGCAATAACATGTTTTAGTGTAGGCAAAAGATACCGAAAACATCGTTTTCAATGGATAATTGAACACTACCGATTTCATATTGAAGCCAATTTGAAACATCAGAAGCCTTGGGAAGTGACTCTCCAACCACCATATGCTCTTTGGGTGAATCTTCAAACTAATGGCAGAGAGCAATGCCATCAGTCACTAGTCACAAGCTTTTGTGAGATGAAACTGTCTTGAAGTTAATGATTTTGTCCTGAAATGGCCATGGAACATGGTCCTCCCCTTAGGTAACATCTGACCCACATTACACATGTCATGGACTTACTTGTGGGATGGTAGCGGGCTCCATTTTTCTCACCAGCAAAAGCAAAGAGGCCCATCTCTATTCTCTTCCATTAAACCACCTGCCTCCTTCCGTTAATGGTCGTCGGTTTGGTTGCTTCTGTCGGGAGTCCCTAGCTAGCTCAAAACCTTAGCAGCAAAACAAGAACACGAACACTTACTGAAGACATGTTTCTTACATGATATGGCCCTGTCACCTTTCAATTAATTGATAACACAAAGCCTTAATTTGGTGTTGGATCATCATTGGTTTTTGTTCATTTAACTGCACATGCATAGCCTTTGACTGTTAAAGTGATTGGTTCATGTCACTCAAATAGGAAACAGTGTAAAAGGAAACTTGGATTAATTTTGGTTTAAAAGAAATGAAATTGCTGGGATTGATCTTGCGCAAGAGCTTGGCTAAAGACTGTCAATGATAAATCAAAGTTGACCAGAGAAAAGCTTCAGACAGCAGGATGCTAAAAAGTTGACAGAAGCCATGATAGTTTCATCTGAAGGTTTTGCTTTACTCCTTGATACTCATTACAGAAAACCATGATATTGTATCCCCAAAAAGATAAGACTTCTTTTTTCTTGCTTCTCTTAACCTCTCTATCAATCTCCAAAAGAGAAGGAAGCAGAAATTGATGAAAATGATTGATCAGGTAAATTGAAAGCTAGGCACTGTTCATAAGCATTTAGTACTTACAACGCAAAAGAGAATCAATTTTCCACTAAAAGAGAGAAGGTTGAAGTTCATATATTCATGTCAATAGCAGTAATTTACAAAAAAGAATTCCTCCATTGAAGGAAATTTTGAGTCCTTTTCAATTAGAGCCTTCCAAATTCCACCTACTTTCTTCTTCTTCTTCATTGCACTCCAAGCATTACCTAGACATGTCATACGTTTTAGAGTAGCCAAGCTGCTCCATCTCCCAACTCAACTTTGAAGCAACTCTTTCATGGCAGGGGACATATTCCTGTAATAGAAGTAGACGTGAAAAATAGGCCATTTTTGCAGGGACACTTTATTCGGATAATACACCAAATGTACACTTTCACATGACACAATCAAATCATTTTGAATTAAATATATATTTTGCATCAATAAATTAAAATAGTTTTAAATTTAGGGTACAATCAAATATTTGTTTCATTTTGGAACCATAATTTTTATCTTTGGTTTAATACTTGGGAATAATTAGACAAGCCCAAATATTGGAAAACTTTTTGTCATGTCCTAATTTGGGATCAGAGCAAGGGATAAATGTATGGAACACCTATGACTCCTTTAGCACAAAAAAAGAAGCTGCTTCAAAGAGATATAAATGCACTTTATGTAATGAAGGTATAGCTTACGTGAAGAAGTTTTTTTAATTTATACCTCCAATTTCTTTACTAACTCCTTTGTTGTGGGTGCAGATACAATGATTTGGCGTGCACTTGGACTAATAAATCCCTCTTCCACAGCTTTATCAATAAAAGAAAGCAATGAGTTATAGTATCCATCAACATTCAGCAAGCCAACCTGAAAGAATGTGGAGAATTATGCATTATTGATTAGTAGTTTCATGGATCAGTTTGTGAGGGATCATCAACATATAAGGAAAAGCAAAGGACGCACTGGTTTATCATGTATTCCAAGCTGAGCCCAGGTAATCACTTCAAGCAGTTCTTCAAGAGTTCCATAACCACCTGCATGCATTTATATGAGTTTTCTTCTTCCATTATAGTTTTCTTCAGGTAATCATGTGATGCTGCAAAAGAGATAACTTAGCACCTAACTACTGAAACTCTTTCATTGTGTCACTTTATGGTACAACATTTAATTGGTGCCGAACATGATTGAGAGACAGGTATACACAAGGTTATTCAAAAGCAACGACATCTATGATTTTACTTATCCAATCAAATTCAAGAAGGAAAAGAGAATGGGACATTATAAGATTAAAACTATTAGATTTAAGGTTAGAAAAGGAACAGACTTCAACTGCCTGTTTGCTATGATAATATGAAGTTTAGTGCAATGCCTAGGACCAAGGAGTAATAATAAGGAATATTAAAGTTCACTTCAACTGCCTGTCATTTGATGGCCATTGTTTTATCATTTATGGCATGCACAACAAGGAGTTTCTAGATTATTATTTACTCCTGCTTTTCTCCACAGTCCAAAAACAAGGTATTTATTGCTCCCATCCTTCGAGAAAATAGAGGCACAATCCTCTGCCTACCCATTAATGGCTCTCATTATCACCTTACAAAGTTTTTTCCATTTGATTTTTCATTTGCTCTTGGTGGGTAACATGCAAAGGACAATTCCCCTGAAGAATAAAATGACTGATTTGCCATTGCCTATAAATAGAATTCTAAGTTAGCTGAAAAAGAACTTAAAAAGAGTAGACTTTTCGAAGAGGTTAATAGGATTCCCTTTTAGATGCAGATGCTAGTTGGCAAACACTCTTTAGTGAAAGTTTTTAAGGATGTCCTTCACACTTAATATGGTAGGGGGGGCACAGTTACACCATAGACTGTGGGAATACATCAGAGGAAAAAAAAAATACTAACCAAGGAAAGAGGGTTCCTCAGAAGTCTAATTTTCAGTGTAAGATGTTGATGGGGTCAAGAACTAGGGTTTGAAGGGTTGCTCTCTAATCATGGGCATTGGGGTCTGTGTTGTAAGAGAAGATTCACAAGTTGTGATAATTCTGGCATCACATAGTTGCTTTAACAGCATATAGCAAATACCAAAAATAGTTACTAGTATCAAACTATAACACCAACATGTGATAATATTTTGACCTTCCTTACCCCAAAGCATAGCACCGTTTTTAAAACTATCTTTTAGTATAACATGGAAACATTAGTTACGTCAAATGAGCAATCCAAAGGTAAAGAGTAAGGATTTTAAATTATTTTTTTTTCTGAACTGAAAGATCAAATAAAACAGAGGAACTCAGCAATCCTCAAGTGAATCAAATCATGAGACATGGTCAATCTTACATGCTAAAATTGGTGAAATCTAAAAGCACCTGATAGCTTCAAGTTTCCCTGATTTGCCTTGATATTTTGGTGTAAACTGCTTATACCAACCTGGTAAGGCAATAAAAGCGTCCGAATGCTTAGCCATCTCTGCCTTCCTTTGATGCATATCTGCAACAGCCTTCACTTCCCCTACTGTTTCGCCAGTTAGCTGCAAAGTTCACAGAAAACAAATTAGAGTATTGAAATCTGGACAGAGAGAGAGAGAGAGAGATTTCGAGTTTTGTGCAGTGAAGCAATCATGAGAATTGCTTGAATACTGCACTTAATTCAAAGACTTCAATACACTAATACAGTGCAATGTCCCTAGCCAGTAAAATTTTACCTACATAAATGCACAAAAAGAAAAAAAAAAGGGCCAACAAAGGAAAAGATAAGAGGAAACCAATGTTGTAATCCCAAAACTATTTACAAAAATGAGAAAGGTAAAGTAGGAAGTTGCAACTGTCCCAGTAATATTGTGGATAAGTCTATCAAGTCTTCGTCAAAAAGCCATAAATGTAGAAAACCAAACAAGAAATATTAAAAATTAATAATAATGAAAAAACAAAAGAGAAAAGTTTGGCTAATCAAAAATTCAAAGGATAGAAAATAGAGGAAACCAAGAAGCAAAAGCAAAGCCAGAAAGAATGATTTCAAAAGAAATAAAGAAAGAAAACAAATTATGAAACATGCAGGTAGGTCCATTTCTTTTTTCTTTTTTATTTTTATTTTTCAATTTAAATAAGAAAAGGTTCAGGACTTTTTTTCTCTGGCTGTAGCAGACATACCTCTCGAGGCATGAGCGTCTTGGGAATAACTCTGCAGAGAGACAATAACATGATAAATATCAGTTGTAATGGAACACAGAACTAAGAATAGTTTTGTAATGAGGAAGTCGAATTATCAATGAGAATAAAGCCAGTTCACTAAATTGTTTCTTAAACTTGTTAGAATGGCTTAGAATGAAAAAAAAAAAAAGAGATTTTACCCAATGACATGGCGACCACCATCATGAACAGCTTGTGAAACCAAACCCATCAAACCTATGCTACCTCCTCCATAGACCAGATCAATGTTCTTTGAGACCTGCAAAAGAACAGAAACAAGTCAGCTCAAAAGCAGACTTTTTGAGTACAAGAAGGAAGCATGTTAAGGAGGGAATGAGACTAAGGTTCAAAGTTCAAGCATGTATCTACAATGACCTCATTGGACAAAACCAATGTTTCTTCAGAGTACATTCGTAAGACTCCAACAATAAGATTGAAAAGGATGCTTTCCTGTTCATTCAACAAACTAGTACTAGTTCGTACGTTAAAATTTCCAAACTTTTAATCACTTAACATAATGAGATTTCGCGGAAAAACAGTGCCCTTCTTTTCTACCTCTTGGATAGGCATTTAGAAAAACTGAAAAACCATTGGAGTTTCCTACCAAGGACTTTGGAGAAAGGAAGAGAGAGAAAGAAAGAGAGAGATGCTAGCAAGAGACAACCAAAATGCAGAAAGCTAAAAACTTGAGGGATTTTGAAAATGCAAGATACCACGAACAATTCACAAACAAGTTACAAACATTAACAGACAAAAAAAAAAAAGGTATACGAGAAGATACAGCTATATGAAACAAAAATTTAAGGCTTTAAGCAACTTTCAAAAGATTTCTTGCAGAACCCATTTCCTCCGTATTGGTAAAAAACATGTTTCTAACAAAACCATCCCAAAACAAGTCTCATTTTGTGTAAAAGACCACAAGAAACAGAGAAAAAAACCAGAGCTTTTTGCTAACTACCAATTCTCTGCCGAGCTCAATAGCAGCATCCTGATAGCTACTCTTCTTGCCTTGGCTACTTCCACAAAAGACACAAATCCTCCTAAATTTTGACTGCTGTGTTTCGCTCCCCATCTCCATTAACTACCTCTCCTTCTTTGTCACAGGCTTCTTTTTTTATGTATACTTTGGCTTCTTAAAAAACCCACTACAAAAAAAAAAAAAAAACGGCTAAAGTAATGCGAGAATATCTCTTTCTAGCCCTGTCTCTTTGCTTCCCAAGCTATACGCAAATCAATGTAAGAACAATGCAAAGTATGAAACCTAAGAAGCTTAAAATTTTCTTGCTTGATTACTACTACTACTCTATTGAGTGTATTCTCTTCATGCGTATATATAAAACCTCGCCACACGTGAGTGCCTCACAGCACGCTTCTTCACACATACACAGCTAATCTTGGCACGGGTGGACCACTTATTTTTTAGTATTATTTATATTTTCCAAGCCCCATTTGTTTGTTTGTTTTTTTTTTTTTTGGTAGCAAAAACTTATGGTAACTGAAATAAAACAGGATTGCCTTTGCCAAGTTGCAAGTTGCCCCGAATGATATGCAGTTTCCCTTGTTTTTCCTAGTCCATCTACAAGTTATTTGACCTTGTTTGTGTGGAAGACTTTGCCTCTTGGGGCATGTTATTTTGTAAAACATTAACAATCGCATTAATGTATATAAAAAAAGAAAAAAAATCCGGTAGAGTTTATTTTACATGTCAGATGGTAGTTTTTATGCTGAGTGAATGAGAGTGGAATTATGAAAGGTTGGTTCTCAGTTTACTGATAATGCCATGCAATGGAAGATGATAGCAATAAACCCACGTGTTTAATTTGTCATGAAAGTGTAGGATTGTAAGTTACCTTTTTCAAGAAAGTGGAAGGCTGGAAATTCTACTCTTTGAACCAAGATTCAATACAGAACTTCCACTCTCCATTTAATTAATCAGCTTGTTTGTCTTCATCACTTCAATAAAAGGCAAGACATGGACAACCTGAGATGGTGTATTTCTTTAACCTTAGTGAAATGGTAAAAAATTTTCGACATAAATATTATGAATATTTATTTTGCAACACAAAACACAACTTTCTGAGCAAGTTATGGGTAAAATTAGGAGGCCCAGATGATGCTATAGAGCTAGCATTGTGCATTTATGATTGTATTAAAACATTAGTGGGTTATAGTCTATGCACCCCTGTACCCTCCTCCACCCTCCCTCGCTAGACAAACCTGTTCTATGCAAAGGAAACATTGGATTTTTATTTCATGCGGCCATTCCCTTCCCCATTTGCCCCAGCCCTCACTCTCCCCAACCATGCTGTCCCCCAAACCTCATCTTCTCTTTACTAATTGCATTTCCTCTCTTCTCCACCTATCACATCTCTCCCCTCTCCAAAACCTACCTCCCCCACTCACTTTAAACAAATCCCATTTGCTAATTTCTTATTAGCTTTATGGTCTTCTGTTGCATTAGATCATTCTTTTATGTTGCATTAGATCGTTCTTATATTTTATTGTTACTTCAATTGCCAGGATTGCAGGAACTGAACCTATGCTCTTTAAACTAATGTGGGTCTTATTATTTGCCATCCCCAATCCCCAAAATTGGCCTTTCTGGTTTCTTTTTTATTGGTCTGTCTAATTCCTGCCCACTCCCAACGTTTAGATATTATAAACTCATAATTACTATTGCTTAATAGGATGTAATTAATTATGTGTCAGCTTCTGCATGCTTGCATGCGCATTTAACTCATGTTTTTGTGTGTATGTGAACCCGCATGTATAGGTAATTGTACGAACTACTCTGCCTAAATTCTTGTCTTCATTTAATATATATATTAGCACTAGTTTTCTTTTCTCGATCATAAACTTGTTTCTTTAACATTTTTGATTGGAATTTAGTAAATTGCCCGAATACAAGAATGTTAACATGATTTCTCCTTTTTCTTTTCTATTAAAAAAATTGAGAAAATCATGCATGTTAAAACAAACATTGCCAACTGCATCCTTTCTCTCATTGCTGCTTGGAAGGGCGGGCTTTAACTTGGAAATCAGGCACTTAGTGTTAGTAAAGTAGCCTAAATTTGATGAAGATTTGAAACAAAAACTAACTGTTAGACATAGATAATGACAGGAAACCCATTAACCTATAATTCAGATTTCAGTGTGTAGATTGTTAGTTGCTGACATTATTTCCATAGTTGATCTAAAAAATCATATGTTGATTGAAATTTATGGTAAGAGAGAAAGCAAATTAGGAGAAGAGGAAGAAGGGAAAGGTGGCAGACAGAAAAACCTGTACAGGCCAGAATTTGCTATTCTTCAGAAATGGTGATGATATATCCATCACTCTTGTTAGCCAGCTAATAAGAGTGATATAATGCTAGAAAAAGAATATGTAAGTAGAGACCCCATTTTGCATAACAGAAACGTGCACAACTCAATCAAACAACAAAATTTTAGCCATGATCAGCTGCAGATAGAAATTGTAAACCCCGAAAAAAAATGAAATGAAAAACTGCTATATGCTTGTCTGTCTGTGTAGGGCAGGAAGCTGCCGAGCCAAGGCCTGAAGCTGAAGGTTGAGGATCTGTCACTACCGTCCAATCCTACCACCACCCGACCCATTCCCCTATTGCCCTCCATTTCCCGATGTGTAAATTTGCATCTTTGTTACCGAGTCCCATAACTAGGAAAGATATGTATGCCTTAGAAATCTTGGTGAAAAGCAATCAATTATGGACGGTGTAAAATTGGCAGAGCCCTTTGTCTAAACTGCACAGATTTCTTAACAGGGTTGTTTTCTTTTTTTTTTTAAACTCAGGGAGACCACTGTTACTTTTTCTTGCTACCGGTTTTCACTGAGCTGATCATTCAAGTCAATCTTCTCATATATGCTTGGTGGAATTTCGGAGAATTTCTTGATCTTATAAATTTAATTATGACATCATATATATATATATATATATATATATAAAACAAAACTCTTTACTACTTAGAGCTGTTATCTTTGGCATGGTGGAACGACTGGAGCACCAATTTCTTACCAATTATGACTGCAGCACCGCCTTGCTATGCCAAAATAATGGCACCTAAAAAATAAAAAATTGTTGTAAAATTTTAAAATAAATAATGTCTCTATCTCTTTCCGTACACATGCACGCTCATATTCACACAAATAAATATAATAATATTTGAAAAGAATTCATCAATGAAAAGAAAGCAAAACAGAACAAATTAGCAAGATTACAAAAAATCCATAAACCGGAGAGAAGTAGTTTTCAAATTCGAAAGTTCATATATAAAATCTGACATTTTGGTTCACAATTTCAAAAGAAGCTTTCAGTTTCAACTTTTCTTTTTTTTTTTTTTTCCAGGAAATGGCAACTTGCTTTTGTCTTCTAACACTCGCTTAAAGTGCACAATCAGATGCACTCAAATGCTTTTTCTAGGAAAAGAATTCATTGATCTTGCTGTCCAGTGACACAATTTGCTCCATTTCCCTGAGAGGACACGTGGCCCCAGGTAAGTGGATGCTGCAGCCACTGTTCCGCTCATTGTTTTCCAGGAAAACATCATATGGAAAACAAAAGAAAGTTGCAATGTAATGTAATGTTTGTTTGGTGATTTTTTTTTTCTTTGGGGAGTATTTGACTATTAATTTGGTTCTCAACAGGAAATGACATGTAGCACATTACCCCGATTGTGCTTTTCTTCAAGATTTTAAAACCCTTTTTCCTTTTTCAATGTTTTCAGAAAGTTGGAACAAATCAAGGGCCCCTTTGTCTCTCCAAAAAAATAAAAAGCATAAAATTTCTAGATTTTCATAAGTGATCGTGAAATAAAAAGCATAATTGCCATTTATTTATACGGTTAGTTCTTTTTTAAAAATGTCGTAATTTGAAAATAAAAAAAAATTATAAATATTAAAATTTCAATTTCAATTATCAAACTTATTAAATGTCATATTTTTAAAATGATAACATTAATAAATTGAATTAAGTACAACATAATGCTAGTTTTTACAAAGATAATATAAATCTTCTCTTATTATCACCATTGATTTTATTTTTTAAAGTGTTTATCCATAAAACAATTTTCTTGAGAAAGTTATATCGTTTTACACTTTGATAATTAATGGAGTAATATCAAATAGACATTACAAGAAATCTGACATATAGTGACGCTTAAAAAAATATCGGTAAAATTTTAAAATCCAATAGTATAGCACCATAAATCCTATATCGATAGTCAAAATATGTATTCTAATAAATTTTTAACTGTTAATATATATTTTATTGATATAGACTTATATTGATAGTTTTTAAGGTGTCAGAATAACTTATAGAGATATACCTACGGTTCAAAACCATTAGTTAATGTTTATCTATTGGTATAGTATCTGTTATTTGTTCCACAGTGATATATCTTTTACCGAAGGTTAACACCTGTCAGAAAAGACTTATATGTTTTAATTTTTCTTGGTTATACCGACGGTTAATGCTTGTCAGTATAGATTCATATGTTTTAATTTTTTTCAACTTGTACCGACGATGTCTCCGTTAGTATTTACCAACGGTCAATGCCCGTTAGTGTAGCCTGATGTGTTTTAATTTTTTTCAATGGTCCATGATGACTGTTAGCATAATCTAAAATATTTTAATAGTAAAGGCATCGGTAAAAACCTTTTTTAATTATATTTTTAATTATTAATATTAATTTATTTATAATCATAATATGATATGGTTTCATATAAAGTAAAAATACACAAAAAACTAAAAATATTTAATAACATTTGAAATAAAATAACAACCAAATTGTTTTATAATCCACAAATTTAAAATAAGTCAAGAACTAACATCATTGTACCAAATCTAGAAAAAAAATATTAATATCTATGATTGAATGTCTACAAACATGGTGCTCGAAGTTTGCATCAAATAATCCTCATAGTGCTATTACCAATGATTAAACTTCAAATATTCTATATATATTTTGAATAATGTTTTGAAGATTGTTCACATTAGATGCATATTGATCTGCTACAACTCTTGTTCCAATGCCCAGAGCCACACAATCCATTTCCTGTTTAGTCATATTGTT